AATAAAGGATCAATTACGATACTGACCAACCTAGCGATGTACTTGCTATACATATTTTCCCTTTAATGGTAAACTGTACGAGCAAACACGAGGTTTAGCTATGGGATCGTGTTTGTTATCAATTTTAGCAAATAATTACATGACTCAATTTGAGGAACGTTTAATTCAGGAGGCACTTTTATTCCATAAATTTTTCGTTCCCAATATGGACGACTACTTTGCTATTTGGCAATATGGAAAATAAAACCTGGAGAATTCTCCTTTTCTGATGGTAAGAAAACAAAATTCACCATCGAGTTAGAAAAGGAAGGTGGTTTAACTTTTATTGATGTCCTAGTTAGCAAAGAGGGAACCAGATTAGGTCGATATGTGTATAGGAAACCCACAAATGCAGGTTTACTTTTGAATTTCTTCTCCAATCACACTTATGGGGTTAAAGTGGGAGTTATGAAGTCTATGATAATAAGGAGCCTGCATCTGGCAGATGTTAAATATCGGGACCAGGAACTGAGGAGACTAAGGCGAATTCTGGCTGAGAATAATTATCCAGGAGGGCTGGTTGACAAATATTTTATAATATAATCAAATAGAATGAAGGGAAATACATATTTGGGGCTAGATAAAAAGATATATCACTCTACCAGGATCCTTATGCTGCCATCGTGTAATCTGTCGCAGAAGATAGGCGAATTACTGAGGAGGTGGAACATCGGGACCATTAACATAGAGAAAATAACACTGCCCTGGGTATTGCCTTCTTTTCGAGAATACTCCGACCCGCTCTCCAGATCAGCTGTTACAAGATTTTGTGTTCATGCAATAGGGTATATGTGGGAGAGACCTGTAGGCTCATACATAAGAGGTTATCCGAACACAAAACAACGTGCAAGGGTATGTTGGAATTGACCGAACACATGGCACGCATAGAACACCAGATAGATTGGTCTAGTGCCAAACACGTAGCTGTATATGGAGATTGTACCAGTAAGCGAAAGGTTAGAGGCGATAGAAATCAACAAAATAGCCAACACCGTGAATAGAACAATGAGTCTAGGAAGTTAAGCGAAACTACTTGTGGCTGTTGAATGGGGAGAGAGGAGGAGGGACAAGAATTACTTCCGAGCAAGAGAAGGCTTGATTAGGCTGAAATTTGGTTTTGACTTTCACATCACATGTATTTCAAGAGTAATGCATTCACAGAACACGTTTGCAATGGGACGCAAACACATGCGGTAACATTGCAGGATCAAAGGCATACGTGTTTTAGGAGAAGATGCAGCTGTTCAGTTTCAATTGCACCCATTTCGCGCTTCATCTGTAGCCACTTCACATGTCATCCGAGACCACTTAACTTTACTTATGAGCAATTATAGAAGCAAAGCATAGGATATCCAAACAAAATATGAGATGCTTAACTGGATCAAATTGGAATATAAGAAGGAAATAGGCTTGAAGCCGGCCACCTTTTCTGCCCTCGTGTTTTCGGTGAATTATCGTTAAATATAGGGCCCTGCTCTGACGAGGTCCGTCACATGACGGATGAAAGCTCAGCAAGCATTCATCGGAGTCGCAGGGCGGTGCGCCGAGACCTATTCGCAAAAATCTACAATCATAGCTCCAAGGCAACTCCCCCATAACCCCCGGTAGAGGTTAGGCGAACTGGATTGCTCAAGAGTTTATCGCATAAAATGCGGCAATTGTGAACAGGAGTCTGTTGATTAAACAGTAAGAAGAATCGGCCTACGAATCAAGGAACACCAAAGACTCTGCAGAAACATGAACACTGAAGGATCCGAAATAGTGGAATACATTGGACCAAAGGGACAAAAAATCGACCGGAAATCGACAGAAAGGCCGGCTGCATATGGTGTAAATACAAGAAGAGGCAGGATACGAGAGGCTATCATTATTATGACCGAAAGAAACCTAATAAACGGAAGACTTGGATAAGGCAGGATTAGTGAAAACTTTGCATATTGCTTTAGTAAACTCGAAAGCTCACTGACGATGCTGGCGAAATATCTGGGAAGGTGCCAAGTCCACGGTCCGACTCTGGAAATTATCATTTATACTATGGACTTCGGACGAAGTGCGTTCCTCTATGTCTTCCTGCCAATATGACAAAGTTGCGTAAGGAGACCGCGACCATACTAAAGCCCACACCATCTTAGTCTTCATACCTACGAGTAAACGATAGTTAAGCTCCACATAAAACACAAAAAGGGACTATATCTCCAAAATAGATGTAGGATTCAAAGATTAAGTTTAAAATAAGAAAAATATAAAAGATAAAATTGAACATAATTTAATAAAGACATTGAGAAAAATATGGAACAACTGCAAGATATTATGAAGAGTATGCAAAAATAACAAAACGTGTTAAACCGTTAAAGGACCTATGAATAAGCCAATTTAGCAAAGATTTAATGGAAGTAATACAAAAAATGAATAAAATGTATCAAATATTATAATAAAAAATATAGCAAACCTTCTTCGATTTCGCACAAAGCCTGTTGGGCCTGTTGGAGACGGCGAGAGCAGTTTTCTGTCTGCTCAACCTGTTCAGCAAGCCGCGTTTCCAATGAGCGCACCTGGGCGGCAGCATCTTCTCGCTCCCGCTCCAAACTCACCAACTGCTGTACCACTTCACGCAGAGCCAGACGAACTGCTTCCGGATTGAGATCGGCCGCTATACTCACTGATGTTGTTGGGACGCTGACACTACTCGGGATCAAATTAGATTGCTGGGGACCTGGCAAGATTACTGTACTACCGGGAGTCAAGGCGGCCGATGCATTTGAGTGAAGCGGCGCTACATCATGGGTGACTCGGTTTTCACATAGGCTAGGCGATGAGGCTCGGCAGATGATGCTACCATTTGGACAAGTTGTTTCAAATCCTATTATAAAAGAAAGAGTTTACAAATTTAATCAATAAGTGGCTCTTAGATTTCAATTTTTGGAATAAAGAAGTTTTTATCAAGGTAAAGAAACAACTAAATAAGTGAAAGGTACTAATTGGATAAAGAGCCTTAACTTGAAGCGGACGTCCATGGAATAAAGATTATAGCCTACCTAGTTATATGTCAAGGACTCATTCACACATGAGGAATCATAATCCAATAAAGAGGCTTAGAAAATAATGTAAATATTTGGATTGCAAAAGTGAATAGGAAAAGTATAAGTTTTGAGCCTTTTACTAAGGCTAGCAACAACCAAAGATTGAAAGCTAAGTGTAAATTAAGCTATATGAGTTCTCTTCACTCTATTTCGTATCAGGTGATGAAGGACTGGTGGTTGAATTTTCCTACAATGATGTGAGTAGAGCTAACGCTTCCATTGAATTTCACATAGCCTTGCTTTCCCAAAAGGTTACACTGAAAGTATATAATGAGACTACAATAACAATTCACAAAGGAAATGCGAAAATGAGCAAAATACCCTCATTTGTAATATTAAAACATGTTACAGTTGATTGGTAGATCTTAGGGGTCTTGACAACTAGGTGCTCACGTGCTTTGAGAATATATATGAAAATGTAGAAAATGACAAATTAATAATGTTACCTTTTGAGGGAGAAGTGTTTCTACTTCTGCCGGCCGTTCGAATGGGCGATCTAGAGGTTGAAGTAGTGCCTTTGCGAAGCGAGACATTGGAGCCTACCAGAATTGCCTCCTGCCGGAAACCAATTATCCGACGCAATGAGCTGTGTATGGAAGCTAGACGCTGTTCAGCATCTCGACGAGATGCCTCTACATTTGAAAGGTGTATCTCCAGGGCAACCACACGACCCTCAGCTCCACTGAGAGCAGACTTGAGCTGACCAATATCAGCATTGGCGAGCTCTAAGCTGTTCTCGAGGTCAGTACGGAGTTCCGTCAATCGGCGCTGTTCGCACGCTGCGTGATCCAGAGCAGTCTGATGCTCACGCTCTCGGCTTGCCAAAGTTTCTTGAAAATCTGCAATGCGCCTTGTTGCACTGGCCAATTCCTTTCGCAAGTTTTCCCTTATTTATAAAAAATAGGAGTCAGAGCATCTTTAGTCAAAATTGTTTATTCTATCAGTTGCTGTATTAGGCTGACTAAATTATTTTTCAGAAAAACGACCGTTTATTTGAAGATATGAAGACCAAGATGTTGTGGCCTCTAGTATGACCGCAGTCTCCTTTCGATTTATATAAGTGGGTTGATCTCTTTATCGCAATTTGGTCTTCTTTTCAGGGCAACTTAGTAGAACGCACCTAGTCCGAAGTCGCCTGCCATAGTAGTTGTCATGTTCCTCAGCATCTGACAGTGGACTTGGTACATTCTTAAACGTTTCGCCGGCATCGTAGTCGGCCTCATCCGTAAGTTTTGCCATTCTCCGCACCAAGCTACGAACTCGTCAAAGAGACAAGTGAAGTCAATCACTCGACAGACGCTCTGCCAAAAATGGTTACAATATATGGTGACAAAATATTGAATCGAAAGATTAGGGAGGCCATTGACATCCTTGGAGAGAAAAATCTAATGTACAGAAGATCGGAGGAAGGTAGAA